GATTAAGCATTGATAAGCCTTTGAAGTCAGCATAAAATCTAAATCTTTATTTTGTTAGCTCACATTGTTATTCTTAAGGCGAATTAATCTGTGTAAAGCGAAATTCATTCTGCTTTGGCCGACCTCTGATAAATAAGGGACTAACCTGAAGAAAAAATGTAAGGAATGAATGTTTACTGCTCTGAAATATTTTAAATGTTTCTTAAATTAAAATTTATTGTGTTCAGTGGGGGTGTAACTCTCTTCACAACAACACAGACACAGGTTGTTTCTCCAGAACGGCGTTTATTTAAGGTCGTCCATAATGTGCTTTGCGGCTGTGAGAACTGTATTAGTAAATGAACACAGTACAAACGTATAAGAAATAATACCAACTACGATTATCTAATACAATATTAAACAAAACAAATACCTCGTTGGTCGCCTGTCATGAAAAGAGAGTCCTTCGATTAATAAAATCTTCTTCACTGTCCTTTTGACTTATTACAGCAGCAACTTTAAGCTTCTTAAACACTTGTAACTTTACACAGCACTGACATGCGTCTGATCATCGTCACTCTACCCGGGGATCCATAAACAAGTCACTCACATTACACGTCATTTCCTTAAAGTGACATGTTTCCATAATAAATGTCTTCAACTACAACATATGAAATAATAACACATTTAAACCTTTCAACACATTTACATTTATAAATACACTTCAGCTAAATTAATACAAAATATTAGCACCTTAAATCACTAAAGAATAAAATATGAAACAAATATGTAAGTAAATTTGTGATTATGCAAAAATGCTTTATAACAGCACTTACAGGGGGGGAAAGTAGTTTATTAATCAGATGTTTAAAAGGATCATATTTTAGAACAGTAATCACAATACCGTGAAACTGTGATGTTTTAATCCAAGGTTATCATACAGTCAGAATCTTACACTGGCACATGCCTAATCAGTAGCTCACAGAGATAAACGAGAGTTGTGCTGTTAATTTGTCAAAGTTATTTAAAAACAAATAGTACAATTTTAAACTCAACTCCAAAATGAACAGGCGGCCAGCTGGTGTAAAGACTGTAAGACTACAGTAATATGCTCTCTCTTTTTAGTCCCAGTCGGACATGTTGTAGACTGGAAAGAGCTGTCAGTGATGTGCTTCTCTTGTGTTCAGGCTTTCTGCTGTTGTCTTCATCGGAGCCGCTGTGTTTTCTGCTGGGTCTGCTGATCATGGGCTTTGCTCATGCCGCCATCACTGTGAAAGGGACTCATCTGGCCAGTCACGGGGCCCTTAGCGAGTCTCCAGCCTGGACAGACTTCTGGGCCGTCTTCTTCATCGAGGTGAAAAACACACAACAGAGAATAGAGGATAATACTGTTCAGCTGAAGGCAATGTTAATATAATTTTAAATCATGTCCCTTTTGACAAGATGTAAAATAACGTCTGATGTCTCTAGTGTGTGTGTGTGTGTGTGTGTGAAGTTTCAGCTCAAAATACACCACAAATAATGTGTTTTAACTCCCCGAAAACGACCCGTTTAGGCTTTGATTTTAATTGTGTTATTTCGGTGACTGTTGCTTTAAATTCAAATGAGATTAAGCTCTTTTTTTGAAGAGGGCGGAGCTATAAATGCCTGTGTCAGCATAGTGGCAGATTCAAGACCGGGCCAACATTATCTCTGTGAAAATGTGAGATGTGTCAGTCTATGGAGACTCCTGTCGCTGTTGATTTGTGCTTCATCTAAAACTTTACATTTTTAATCCTGTTAGTCTACGCTGACATCATCTTCAGCAGCTCAAACACTCTAATGTCTAATGGACAGACGGCTGCTTCTCACTCAGGGCTGTTTAGTGAGAGATATGCACTAGTGGGCGGGGCTTTCCCCCTCTCATGACATGTGCAAAGGAAGAATGTCAATCAAAGTGTTTCTGCAGACTGTTCCCTGCTGAAAAATCCAGCTAAAACCAGCCAACCAGCCTAGGCTCACCGGCCACTTTATTAGGTACACTTGTCCAACTGCTCGTTGACACAAATTTTAAATCATTGTAGCAACTCAATGCATTTAGGCATGCAGACATGGTAAAGACGATCTGCTGCAGTTCAAACTGAGCATCAGAATGGGGAAGAAAGGGGATTTAAGTGACTTTGAACATGGCATGGTTGTTGGTGCCAGACGGGCTGCTCTGAGTATTTCAGAAACTGTTAATCTTCTGGAATTTTCACGCACAAGCATCTCTAGGGTTTACAGAGAATGATCTGACAAAGAGGAAATATCCAGTGATTCTCTGGGCGCAAATGCCTTGTTGATGCCAGAGGTCAGAGGAGAATGGCCAGACTGGTTCCAGCTGATAGAAAGGCAACAGTAACTCAAATAAGCACTCGATGCAACCGAGCTCTGCAGAAGAGCATCTCTGAACACACAACACGTCCAACCTTGAGGCGGATGGGCTACAGCAGCAGAAGAGCACACCGGGTGCCGCTCCTGTGAGCTAAGAACAGGAAACTGACGCTACAATTCACACAGACTCACCAAAACTGGACAATAGAAGATTGGAGAAACGTTGCCTGCTCTGATGAGTCTCCATTTCTGCTGACACATTCAGATGATCGGGTCAGAAATAGGCATCAACAACATGAAAGCATGGATCCATCCTGCTTTGCATCAACAGTTTAGGCTGGTGGTGGTATAATGGTGTGGGGGAGATTTTCTTGGCACATTTTGGGTCCATTAGTACCAATTGAGCATGGTGTCAACGCCACAGCCTACCTGAGTATTGCTGCTGACCATGTCCATCCCTTTATGAGCACAGTGTCTCCATCTTCTGATGGCTACTTCCAGCAGATTAACGCACCATGTCATAAAGCTCAATCATGTCAGACTGGTTTCTTGAACATGACAATGAGTTCACTGCACTCAAATGGCCTCCACAGTCACCAGAGCTCAATCCAATAGAGTAGCTTTGGGATGTGGTGGAACGTGATATTGGCATCATGGATGTGCAGCCGACAAATCTGCAGCAACTGTGTGATGCTATCATGTCAATATGGAGCAAAATCTCTGAGGAATATTTCTAGTACGTTGTGGAATCTATGCCATGAAGGATTAAGGCAGTTCTGATGGCAAAAGGGGTCCAACCTGGTACTAGTTAGGTGTACCTAATAAAGTGGCCAGTGAGTGTAGATAAACTGTAATAATTAATTGTAAATATTATAATATCTGTGGTGAAAAAAAGAGAGTTCAGAACTATTTATATTTACCACAACTGGCCAATATCCATGTGGTGAATGATGAAATTTGTAGTTTAACTATGCAGACTTTCTTTTCAAATCTTATAAACAGCAACTTTAAAACGCCCACAGTCAGTTTATAATGTCTAAATCAGTTGTGTTTTCAGTGCGGTGTGTCTCCAGTGCTGATAATTCTCTGCAACATGTAAATGCCAAAGAATGGAAAGAATTTAGCGATTAATTCTTCATGAATTAACTTTAAGATTAAAAGGATTTACAGCCATTTACCGTCTTCATCCTCTCAAGAATGTAAAAGAGTCATAATGCTGATCATATTCCAGGGTAACAGTTTGCACACATATCTACTGTATTTACTTGGCTTAATGTTTGTTTTGTATTTTAGTATTTTTGTGTGTGTTTTGGTGGGATAAAAATTGTTTTCTCCTACTATTGCTTTAAATGGAAAGGTCCACCCAATGTAATGTAATATTTTCAGTTACGGTTGTGTGAATGTTGAAGTGTGTGTGTCTCTGGGTCTGTGTATCAGGTGTGTGGGTCGTTCTCTGCACGGGCTGGTGTTCAGGCTCATGTGAAGATGCATCATGCTCACACTAATGTCATCGGTTTGGGAGACTCCAGCACCTGGAAAATACCCTTCCTGCCACGATCCGTCTACCTGTTTATTGCGCCCCTCGCAGTCCCCATCATCACTCCTATTGTCGCACTTGGTGAGCATTTCAGTACACCAGCTCGAGATATTCAATGCGCCAATCTGATTTTTTCAATGCACCAATCAGAGTTTTTCAATGCACCAATCAGAGTTTTTCAATGCACCAATCAGAGCTTTTCAATGCACCAATCAGTTTTTCAATGCACCAGTTTTTCAATGCACCAATCAGAGCTTTTCAATGCACCAATCAGTTTTTCAATGCACCAGTTTTTCAATGCACCAATCAGAGCTTTTCAATGCACCAATCAGTTTTTCAATGCACCAATCAGAGCTTTTCAATGCACCAATCAGTTTTTCAATGCACCAATCAGAGCTTTTCAATGCACCAATCAGTTTTTCAATGCACCAATCAGAGTTTTTCAAAGCCCCAGTCAGTTGTTCGATGCACCAGTCAGTTGTTCGATGCACCAATCTGTTGTTCAATGCACCAATCAGAGTTTTTCAATGCACCAATCAGTTTTTCAATTAACCAATCAGAGTTTTTCAATGCACCAATCAGTTGTTCAATGCACCAATCACTTTTTCAATGAACCAATCAGAGTTTTTCAATGCATCCGCCAGATATTTTAATGCACTAATAAAGAGTTTTTTTATTGCACAAGCCAGATTTTTGCAATGCACCAGCCAATGATTTTCAAATTTTCATATATATATATATATATATATATATATATATATGTGTGTGTGTGTGTGTGTGTGTGTGTGTGTGTGTGTGTGTGTGTGTGTGTGTGTGTGTGTGTGTGTGTGTGTGTGTGTGTGTTTGTGTGTGTGTGTTGTTTTTACTTTTGGATAGATGTAGGACAACAAATAAACCCGTTTTGGTTAATTCAGGCCACCTTTGGGATCAATTTGGACAAAACCATCTGCTGAATTAAAAATTGTATGGATTTTTTTTATTCATCAGTATCACTGGGTTTGCCAATATTTAACCTAAAGTTGACTTGAAACAACCCACAGCATTTTTAGAGTACAGTTTCATCATTAGTAAAACCTTTGTGATGTGTTTTCAGGTCAGCTGAAGGGTCAGTCTGTGTTCCAGATCGTACGGACCATCGTGTGTGTGTTTGTTGGTTTTTTCTCTCAGTATTACTTGCTCAGGAGTGTATCTGGACTGTCGTGGAGCTCTTCTCTGATTGTTATGCATCTATGTCGAGCAATGTTCTCGCTGCCCTACATACACGTCAACATCTTTCAGGTCAGATATTCCACCATTTGTTGTTTGTAATATTTTGAAAATCAGGTGTATGAACAATCACTTTCTGCATTTGTTTGATATGATTGCATCACACACTATTGAATTAGCTAGCCCATCCCAAAACTACACACCTTAAAGTGCAATTTTTACTGGGTCAAGAGCTTTATAAAGCAGCTGTCTGTAACTTTTGTTTGTTTGTGGGCTTAAAATCTTTTAGATGCTACACCTTGAAATGTGATCACATCATTTATCAGTGTATACCATTTATCTTGAGAAAATAACACACAGCAGTTTTTGCCCGTCTGCTTTTCCATCCTCGAAAAAATCTTAATTTTATTGTTTTCACCACTAATCTTAAGTTATTTTTGCATGCTCAGGAAACATTCAGTCTGTGCAGGGTTCAATCTGTTGTTATTCTGGTCCTAAAGCTGAGTTTTAATTTAACAACTTGTAAAGTCATTTTAATGCACCAATGAGTGTTTTTCAATGCACAAATCAAGGGTTTTCAGTGCATCAGTCTGTTTTTCAATCTACCTGCCAGATATTTTGTAATACAGCAAGTTTTTTAATGCAGCAATCAAATAATTTAGCAATCAAAAACAATGTAGTGTACACTTTTTATCCTAAGAAAATATTATACATCAGTATAGGCATTTCTGCAGGTTTTATCCATTCTCAGAAAATATTAATAAACATAATTAAATATTAATAATTAAATTACATTATTTTCACCAATAATCTTTAGTTATTTTTACATGCTCAGAAAAAAGATCTAAAATATTCTGCCTGTGCATGGCTCAAACTAATTTCGGTCTTGAACCTGAGTTTTAATTTAACAAAAACAACTAATCAAGTAATTGTTTAATGCACATATCAGAGTTTTTCAATGCACCAATTAGATTTTTTTCAGTGTACCATTCAGAATTTTTTAATGCACCAATTGTTTTTTAAATTCACCAGTTTTT